TTTGTTATCAAGATACGGATATTTCATAAGTATTCGCTGTATTTGTATTGCAGTAATTGTATTATCGTGTTATTTAAAATATAATATTGCTTCTGCCTTCTCACCTAAGAAATGCTTAAAGATAAAGTCTCGACGTTGATCAGTCCCTGAGTTATGCCCCATGCATTCTCGTTTTCAACTGTCAACATCGTTTGAGGTAACTAAATGCAAATCTGGCCTTTACAAGGACTCGCGGTGGCCTCCCGCTGAACCGAGTCAGTGCTGCTTATCCTCCCTGACAAATCTGGGACCAGTCTCGTGAAAATTTACCGACCCTGGAAGATGGATGGCTTGGTGAGTCATGAGCGCGAGATCGAACCACTGCCCCGTGTGCGACGCAGAGCATCTCTAACCACTGTGCCACATGCGCTCTTCCTATCTTATATGTAATTATAATATGTTATTATAAGTTGCAGATTCTTGAAAGCTATTGCTATAAATTTCGGATTCTTGAATGAATGGTGATCGACAAATTATATAAAATGATCGCTTATGTTACGCTACTACTACATGAGATATGGTGTGATTTGGTGTGCAAAGGATTTGAGCATATTATGGCGAAGACAAAGACAACAGATATGATTGGTGGAAACGGGCGAGAGGTGGAGCCAGACACGCTTCTGGGCCCGTAGTAGGCAAACGGTTAATGATAATGCGAGGCTGCATGTTTCCAAATTGGCAAGAACGAAGTTGACCCATCTGGGTCGGGAGTTGCTGGATCATCCGCTACGCATTCGCGTCTTGTATCGTCGGACTATTACCTATTACGGTCTCTGCAGCACTTTTGAGCAAGCAAAAAATCTACTACATCAGTCAGTTGTTTAGAGGAGTGGCAGTTTGTTTGAATTCAAGGATGACGAGTTCTATAAACGTGGAATTGATTTGCCTTCTGCAGAGTGTGTTCAGGCTGATAACGCATAGTTGAAATAGTATTGTTGGGCAATTTTAATTACTTTTCGCTGATGACTTCGTGTCCAATAGCCCAGGACGAATATTTATGATAGAATTTGATGATAGAAATTAGATAGTCGGAACACTTCATCGTCACGAAAAAGATAGCCTATTGCCGAGGAGAATGCTTCAAGTGTTTCTAGTACAGAAAGTTCAGATTTGTCCCAATAATCCATTCTTTCAAAGAAACTAGATCCTTCAAGAGTAATAATATTTCTATCTCTTATTGCGCTTTCTTTCCATCTATTTTAGGAAGTGTGACCGTCCTTTCGCATCGTCATTTCATCGATGACTCCAGATATTGTCTGCTCTGCAAACAACTCCCCAATATTGTGCATTGTAGTTTGTGAATTTCAACTGGCTACTTGCACATAAGCATAACGTTGCCTTGTGCATCTTTCGGCATCATTACAGACTAGTGCAAGATTCCGGGTAACGCGTGGGAAGGTCAAATTAATTTTAGCAATCTGTCTAATCGACCACTTCTGAATGTGTAGCTCCGGAGATAGTGACTTCTGACTATTCAAATAGTGAACACTGTGGAATACGTCTTTGGAAATAGCGCACAATCTAACCACACATTTCTCTGGTGTTGACGACCATCTAGTCAGAACATTCTTTGCTTTAATTTGTTTTTAGACGAGTTGTTCCGTTTTGTAAATGTACCCGATCTATGAACCACAAAGAATTTATAGAAATCAGCAAAGTCTGAATGTGAGAAAGGGATATTCTGTGCTTACCTGAGGAAAGTGTATGATCTATAAGCTTGCGTTTGAAAGTATTGTGTGGAAGAACTGGAACACACCATGCAATGAAAGGATGGTACCAACTAAAAGGAAATGTGCGCAGAGGGCGTAAACAGTGCACATGTGCAGTGTCAATATCACTATATGAAATCTCCTAGTATTACAGAATAAGCGAATTATAGAAAGTTAAAACCAACTTTAGAAGCATAGCGATGATCAAAAATCATTGTAAGATGTTAATGAAGTGGCGTAGCATGCAGTGTACAGCATCATTTCTAAGAGATAGCTCGTCGGACTCTCATTTTCAATCATTATGATGACTTTACGACAAAACTCCGTGAAATGAGATTATACAAATTTGAAAGATTTATGCCGTAATATCTGATATTAGAAGCACAAAAGTCAATCTGATGATTATTCAATCAAAATTCATTTATTTGACCGCCTTTGCGATTTTATGGCCTTATAATATACCCAATAATGTGGAGTGCCGTGCAAAAACACAAACAAAAAAACCGTCGACGGTTGGCTGTTGACAGATAACGCGTTGTAGCGTAAAAAGTGTGCTGAGCAAAACGAGCGTTGGTGGTGCAACGGTTCAGCACACGCTCCCGTAAAGAGTAGGCGCAAAAGTCCTGTGCATCACTCTAGATGATTGGGTGTACACTCTATTTTCGCTCTTTGTCATACCTTTTTCTGAGAAAATGCAGTGATGAAAATGCCAGGGATATCTGAAAGGGGTCTGTAAGAGTAGATGGAAATCGCCCGTATCACCTGCATCAAGTGTCGTCCTGTTGATGGTCGAGTGACTCGAGCGAGTACCAACGATACTTGCATTTTTCCCTATCGCGTACAAGAGTAGCCCAGTGGATCTTCCTCGTTCTAGGAATTCGTTGGGCAGCATATCCTTCTGCTATACCTTTCGGGCAAAAATCGGACCAACGGGTCGGCGGTCTTCCTTTAGAGCGCTTGATATCCCGAGAAATCCACTCGATAACCGTTCTCGTCCATCGGTTTTCGTTGAAGCGCATCGCTTGTCCTTCCCACCTTATTTTTAATATCCTGGCGTGTAGAACGGTATCTTTGATCTTCGATATGATGGAAATCAGCGTCTAGAAATATTTTCGATTCATCCAATTTTCGCTGTAATGGAAGAAGTTTCCCTAGTAGCAGGAAAGTTTTGTAGTCATGAATGGTACACTCTCCTGCATCTTTGTCGGCAACACGATGACGGGATTTTGCATCCTTGTGTACTCACCCGAAAACGCTGTGTTGAAATACTAACACATCATTCGGTCGTCATTCTTTCGTCCTCTCCGGCCGAAGGAGAATCTCAGGATATACAAGGGTTCGAACAAGATTCCTTTCCTTACAAAATGCGTTTTTTGGAAAAGATAAACCTATGCAGACCACAAACATCATCATGGCGAATTGGCCGACAGCAGTGTGGCCGAGTTTGACAGAACGGTTCAAATATATAGCTGAGTCCACTCGAAACAATTCTTCCTCTCGGCAACTGCAACTGTCGACGAAAGCTATCAGATCGTGATCAACAAACTGACTTAATTACAAGAATGTTGATTAGTCAGTGTAAGGTAGTCAACTACAATTGTACATCGCAATGATTTTCTATTTAGTGTTTAGTTCGATGAACAGCTGAAAAGAAAACTTGTTTACGCTTATAGTAAATTGCAGAAAAGTCCTGCCGTTTTAGAAAATGAAATTCACAGAAATATTTTGTGCAAACTTGAGCTCGTCAGAGAGCTCCCTTCTTTGTACATCGAGCGACATATTTATTTTGTCTGTACAGCCTTCACTATGGAGCTGTCTACGGAAGAACTTCGTTTGTTTTTCCACTTTCACTGCGAATTAGGTGTCAGCGCTTCTGAGGCTCATCGACAAATCAGCAAGGCTTATAGTGACGAGATTTGCAATGTTTGTACAGCTCAACATTGGCTTAGGAAGCTCCGTGAAGAAGGAGGCTGATTGACCAGCAATTGTCTTTATGTGGAAGGGGACTACTTCAACTATTGATTTGTCCTTGTTCAGGCTTATTTGGCGTACAAATAAATTTTCCCTGTACATTTTGTAAATTCGACAAACCTTCTTCTAAAACCGTTAGATCCAGAAGCCGCTCCCATCAGTGTCTACTAACCTTGAATAATCTTGTCTGAAAAGGATAAGTACTGAAAATATAAAACTTTGGAATCAGTACCTTAAATGATGACATAAATAAATAACTGATAAGAGTAACTGTGATTAAATAAAAATGAAGCGAGTAAAATAAGAAAAGTAAATAACTGAAGGAAATGTAGAGACGTTACTTCAGCAGTAGTGTTGGGCGTATTTAAGTTCTGAAGATTTAGGCATGCATTTAACCGCATCTGCAACATTACAGAGGTGAGCAAATGCATAATTGGCTTGACTAACACCTAACTGATGACGTGCGTGACTAACGCGGGACATGTGATCGAACAAACGGTCACTTACATGTCTGGAAACGGAATGTTCTTTACAACTTCGGTGATTCCAATCAGTATTAGCTTAATTTATGACTTAGCAAATAGCGCGTTGAAAGTGAAACTGTGGAGTCGACTTGAATCTTTGACTCTGAAGAAGACGAATACGCCCAAATGCAAACCAAATGGAGTTTTTTATCAACTCGGTGCTGAAATTTTTATTGGCATTTCATAACCCTTCATCTCTTCACAGTGCTTTTTTCGCTCTGCAAATTGCAGCACTTCTGACGTAATCCGTTTTTTCATCTCATTCTTCAACGTCGGAGAATACTGGTTAAGCGCGTCTCCTTGCAGCCGCGAGGATGACCTGGCTCTGGCGTCCCATAGGGTTTTGTTGTTGACTGCCGGAGAGAATTGGAGGGTGGAGCTTGGCTTCACGCGGGCTGCGACAGGCATCACAACCATTCAGCCACTTCCATGTATGAGAGCTAAATTATAGTGGAAGTTTGATAACTGACAAAAAATTCTTTTCATTGTGCCGCTTCTAGCGATTATGATGGTGTAAATACGTATCCAATAATGTTGAGTGTTGTGCAAAACTATGACATTTGGGGGAACCAAACCTGCATCCTCACTTTTCGGGGCATGTGCTGAACAATTTCATCATAGACGCCTTCTTTGCTATCAGTCTTTCTGCACTAAAACACAGAAATCTGTCAGCAGCCAACTGTCAATTGCCTGGGTAGCCATATCGGCACTGATCACAGTATTTGGGGCATACATGATCAACAATAATTCTTTTTAGGGGTCGGTAGTGCGATTGGCTAGCACAGGCTTCCCTCGTAAAGGGTGAAACGCGGGTTCGATTCTCGTCCGATTCACAACTTTTGCGCATCACTCAACATTATTGGATATTATCAACTGCTCACATTACTGTTCATATTCTACAAGTTGCTGCACGTGTTTTTTATGATCTTTGTCTCCACAAATGTGTTTTCTCATGATTTCTTCTTGATCTTCGTTCTTTTATTCTCAGTGAACGCGCCACTTATTCTCCATCATCAAGTATAGTCAGAGATGATTGCATGCATAGGTGCACTCAGTGACTCGTGGTGTCCTCCGATGTACCAAGCTAGTGCTGTTATTGCTCCAAATAAGAGTGGAGTCCATTTATCAATCTTGGAGTGATGGATTTTTGTATGGACTTGGGAGCAGAGTCAAAAAAGAGACCATGGGCATATATATTCTCTTGACATTTATTCATTATTTGCGACTTTGCAGTCAGTGATCCCTCCGAGTTATCGCTTGCTTAAAAACTGAAAGATTTTTGTATCTTCGATTAGATAAAGCCCATGTTAAGAACAAATCACAAGTTAAAATTATGTTGAGAAAGTACAGAAGCATCAATCTCGTCGTATCGTTGGATGGTTCTGAAATCAAAACAATCTACCATGTGTACTTTGTCTTTGAATGGGTTCCACATCTCATTTGTATTCATTTCAGAGTAATAGCTTTTGCTGTACTATAAGAGCAATCATGGCACTTATTCGAATCATGCGTCTTCTCCACAGTGACGTTTTCGTCTATTTCTATTTCGCACTTCACTTATCTGACACCTAACGGACGGCTGTAGAAATCGATGCGTGCAAAGTGATTTGAGCGATTTCCGGTGTTTGAATGAAGTTTTTCTTCGTTTGGCAAAAATTTACGTGTTTCTTGTATCATTTTGATCGAATAAGATATTCTCTACTCACTCATATGCTCTTCGTTTAATTATACGTGTCCTCTGTAGAGAAATACTCTCGTTTTCTACGCAAATTACTGACACTTCATTCAATGAATTATATTGCATTGTACAAAGTGGATCACAATGAATATCTTTAATTGTGCTCTTCTTTCGTTTTATACAAGACCCAAGAGTCATCATAGTAAATAAAAATTTGAGAACAGCTAGTATTTTACCAAAAATTACTATGACTATTGTTTTCGATAAGTGTTTATCGAAAACTCTCACTATAACTAAGTTTATATCAATCATTCGTTTATTTCCAAATATTCAGAGTTGAAGTAAGCGGGAAAGGTACAGTACTTATGGACAGCGGAAGAATTTTCAGCGGTAAGGGATAGCCACGTTTGAATAAAAGGCTTAGAACATCTGCATTATGCCAACTACTGGTCAGAATTATGTGTCGCCAGAAAAGTATTCTTGCTGCTTCCCTCTTATCCACCCATCTTTAAAAAAAGTTTTTTTGTTCCTTTTCGAGGTTTTAGTAATTAATCAGCAGCTCGAATCTTGAGAATCTGGAGGGTGTGTTTTATTTTTCAAATGGTTCAATATTATGCTGTAAGGGTGAAGCAAAATTTTCGGCACTTATATGTTAAACGGCGACAGATTTTTAAGTCGATCTCATTCGCTGGTTTGAATATTTTCACAGAAGTGTTAGTAATTATTAGAAAGCTTAAATCCCTAACTACATCTTCGCATTGCTGGTTTTTCGAATCATCCTTTTATGTCGCTGTAGCTTCCAGAATTAGATTTCGTTTCTCACTCGCCTTTCAGTTTTGTCAAACCAAGCACATAAACTGCTGGAAGCACGAAAAACATACCAGCGTGTGGGCAATTTTGCTTAGCATCGGAATCTACGTTTATGTCTGAAAGTGCTTTCGATGTGGTGAAAAAATCCTAAACTCAATTACAATATTTCAAACGGATCGGTCGTCCGCGCAGGCCCCGTTCCCCCGCTCCGTAACCGGTAAACAAAGTAGCCGAAATGATTCGAGGCTGAGTAAAATGTGAAGGAAAGCCACAGCAACGACTTGTTAGTGAGATAATCGCCTGGTCTGCTGCGTAACTCGACAGTGATCTATCGCATTATGCGTTAAAACGGCGGCAAGTATTGTTATTTTATTGAGGCTTTTTTGCCGCATTGACAGAAGCTTTGCATAGAAATGTGTAATTCTGAAGCAGTAGAGAGTTTTGTACACGGTGACATGCTTTTGCGAGCTTCTAGCGATTTATACGCGTGGTAAAAATGAAGGTGAAATTCGAGTGAAAATTGAAATATTTTTCTGGATACTACAGCGTTGTGCAAGGATGTATCAAAAACAGGCGAGCTATAGATGTAGGCAGAGATTTCAGCTTTCGAATGAGCGCAAGTACTCCTACGAAAATTTTTTGTTTAGCTAATGAGATTGGCTTAAGAATTTGTAGCCGCTCAACATATAAGTACCAAATTTTCTTTCACACTCAGACATCTTTAGCTGGACATAGGTTTTCAATCAGACTTTTAATAACCACTCGATAGCACCGATCTCTTTGATAGGCTTGCTTTTTGAGAAAGACTTTTAATTTCGTTGTTACAGCTAAAAGATTAATGAGTTTCGCACTCCGCGCCGTGTCGAACGCGCAGCGCAATTTACATGCGGCGTCCGGTGCGCGTCGACTATGAAACTTGATAATCTTTTAACTGTCACGACAAACTAAGAAGTCTCTCTCAAAAAAACTATTCGTATTTTTGAATTTTTTGAGATTTGCGTCTTCGAATGGATGTGAAGGCCTGAGAGAAAAGTCGTGTCCAGCGAAAAATATTCAGATTTACAGCACAGTTTTGTTCCTGTTGCTACCGCTCGCAAAGGGAATCTTCCCAGAGGCCAACACACAATTGAAATCCTCGATATTTGAACAATCGGTTGGTTGTTGAACGGCGACGGCTCGATGCTGATATTGCAATTTACACGCACATACCGTTGGAAGGCATACGGGCCGCATGTGAAATGTAATTTTAATTTCAGTGCTGCAGCGCCTTAAAGAAATTTCTCGGAAAATCAAAACATTATTAACTTGGCCGAAATTTGTGTTATCGAGGATATGCTGGATTTATTGAGGAGATGCTTTGCTCATTGAAAGGTGTTAGGTTCTAAATAGCATTTTTTCTAATACAGTGTACTACAGAGACCTTATTTCTTAGAGAATTAAGCGGCAGAATAACTAACAAAATGCCTGGAAAGTGCGAAAAAGGGTTTTTTTTATTATGAGCGTTGATAGGGGAAGTACCTTATCATACGCGATGATGAGCGCGCGCTCTTCCTGCACATACTCGAGTTACATATTAGAAAAACCTCCACATAGACCTCTATTAGAAATGTTGAGAAATTGTCGTAAGTGTCGTTTATTATTGTCTATTTGTTGAACACATATTGTGGTACACGAAGGGTACTTCTCATTTGAGCTGGGATGTGTTACTTAACTCGCTAGGCTATGATGTTGAGTCATTCAAAAAAAACACCTTCGATTAAATTCGGTACAAAGTTTGTATGTAAACACCGAAGACTAAACTTTTTCACCTGACGCGAGGTACTATTCGTAATAGTAGTATCAACAGTGATAACAGTGTAGCTCGTTGATTGACGTTTCGGGGACCCTTCCTTCTTCAAAGCGTGGGCGTACGCTCTAACAATATTCGTATGAATCGGTGAAATGGCTCCGTCCCATAGGTCAAGTTATGAGATCGACCTCAAATGGGGCACCTGGTCTAACGTTCTGGTAACATAGTCGTCTTTCCGGTTTATTTTTGGAATCGTACCGTTTATCCAAAACACTTACGCGTTGATGTTTATGACCTTTGCACAAGGATTGAGACATTCGTCTGACTCATTGTCTCTTATTTGGGTTGGAAACTTTTCTGACGGAGTAGATCGGACAGTGTGGATACTTTTTAACACAGCTGGAGCTGCCGAGTCGGCAAACGATGCATGTTTATTGCTTCCCAGTGCTGTAAAAGCAACTGGTGAATGGCTTACAAAGCAGAGTCATTCGACACGTTGGTATAAAGTATGACTACGTTGAAGTACTCCATCACGTTTGCGTTGTTAGAGCGCTCAATTCGTAAACAACGCAGCAACATTTAGGTAATCCTGAAATAAGCCGGAATGCTCTTTAGCGAATGATTGGGCATTATCTTCATGAATGAAGTTATTCCACTGGTGGGTCGCCTATACAGCTATTTATGGGTGTAATAATTAATTCCGAAGAGTCGGTAGACGTGAAATGATCAGTTAGTACTAGCTTATAAGTCCCAATGAGAAAGCACATCACTAGGCGTGCCGCAAATCAAATCGAAACAGAAGGATAAATGAATGAAGTTTTTGACGATGATCAACTCTTGGGAGATGCTTCCTGCATTCGATTTCAATTTATAGCCTTGCTTGTGGTATTTACTGCTTCCAGATAAACGTGGTAGCAATTTACTGAACTCGTAGTGAAGGAGAACGTGATGGGCCATGAACGCAAAATCAAATCATCGAGCTTCTCTGCAATGTGGGACACTGTGCACTACGCAGCGTGCGCTCTCAAATCAAATCAAGCTGAAAATAACAGATGATTTTGAACTTCACATTATACTACATTGGCTCATTCCTTATTCAGTTTTGTGAATTGACTATTGATTTTCCTTGATTTGAAAGCCTATGAAGAAAGATATCTTCAGAATGTTTTTTGTGTTATTGATGTCTATATGACTAGGAATCACCACATGCGACCCATCTTTATCATTAACGGATACGCTATGTTTTCAAACCTTATCAGATCTCAAAAATCTCGTATCCCATGTTTTGTGTTTCATTAAAGATGGAGATAAATCTTCTTACACGATGAGAGTCGAAGTTTTTCGAAGCTTCGTTCGTAAATACCCGAAATTTCAAAATTTCAACACCACCATTGTTGGAGTACTGTTCTCTGAACAACGGTTGACGAACGGCTGTAGTGGTAATGCCTCCACTTTTTTTTCAGTCCCATGAAATGATTCAACTACAGCTTATTGAGACATCAATTTCGAAATTCGTGTAAACTGCATGCGAGTCTGCACAAAGTTCCATCAGAAAT